ATAAACTTTATCCTTCTTTTAAAGATATTTTGCATAATCCACTGTAATCGTTCTTTTTACTGTGTAGGTTGAATAAATTAGGATCTAGGTGTAAAAGTAAATTATATGGGTGAATATAATGCAGGGAAAATTAAATCTGAATCCTCAAATGTTAATTTCATCTTTCCAATACTGTTCTTGTGGTTGGGAGATTTCTCTACCAGTCAGGTGTTATGGGATCTTGGGTTTTTAAAATGTTTATTCAACTTAACAAAAATGACAAGTTGAAATTTTCCACCTGATGCAGGTGCGTAGACATTTTTGGGAAGCACGTTAAATTTGTGGTTTGTCAAGACATATAGTATGTTGAATTAGATTTAGTGCTGACTGTCTAATCTATTTTATATAATCTAGAACAAATAAAATGAAAGACTGTTGGCATGATGTTTTTAGCATGATGGCTACAAACAGAGCACAATTGCATTTTGAACTTAATCTGGAGTTAGTGATAGGATTTATATCAGCAATATTTTTAAGACGCAGCCTGTGTGTAAAAAAAAAAAGGCAGAACAGATCACTGAAAAGATTAACTGAGCTTCACAGTTTTTATTTTGTGAGTCATATATGCGTCATACCCAAAACAATTCTTATGGTTCCTTCTAGTTTTTAGAAGCCATGATCTAGAGAATATTTTCTTAGCAACTATATTCAATCTAAACAAAAGGGACTTTGTGTTTAAACAGAGAACAAGTAAAGGCAGATTGATATTGTGATAGAGCTGCTATTAATGGAGTTAATTAAATACATTGAAAATAAAACATATGAATAGCTTGCAATCGTCATTGCTAGATTTTGGAAAAAATGGGAAGCTATATTATAGTCCCATTGAGATTTTGAAATATGTTTCCGGGTAAGATGTTGCTAGCTCTTAATTTGTTATATTTGTGTCCTGACTTTCATTCAAAAGCATAAGGCATAATGTTTCCTCCTCCTGTTTTTTACGCCCGCACCACCATGTGGTGTGAGGGACTTTGAACTGTAAGAGTCTGTAGAGACTCTTCCATTCCCCACTATCCTGTCAGAGCTGAAGAAGCTTCTNGAGTCAGCATATTGCCCCCGACAATCCTCATTTTACCCACGTTGGAAGGATGGAAGGCTGAGTCAACCTTGAGCCTGGTGAGATTCGAACTGCCGAACTGCAGCAGAAGTAGCCTGCAGCACTGCATTCTAACCACTGGGCCACCACAGCTCCTAATGGATTCTCAGCCAGCTTGGGTGGATATTGTAAATCCGAGGCTGTCCGTCCTTTACCTGTTGCTATCAAATTACCTTGCACATCAGTACAACGTTGACTTGTCTGGCAGGTCATTTGGTCACCTCTGCAGGAAAAAGCACTTCAGGTGGCTAATTAATTTTTCAGCAGAGCCTCCTGGGATTCCTCCAAGGAAAGAATGTAGTCACTTATACCATGTTCCCATTCACCTCTGTCATGGTCTTCGGGTTTTGTCATTAAATCTTAATTATCACTGTAGTCTAAAGCTGTTCTCGTAACGACAGTAATAGGCCCCGTGTCTCGATGCCCTAAAAAAAACCATGCATCTGTCCTTCGCCCAGGATGAACGAAAACCTTCTCCTTTGCCTACTGCATGCGGAGCAAAAGATCCATATTGAATTTCTCAGCGATTTGCCCTTTGTCCAGGTAATCTGATGAGAATTTGATATATATTGCATTACTCAAGGCTGGTCTTCACCCATACAAAACTGATCAACAGCAGAGTAGAACTAGGAGAGGTGACCCTGAATTCCAAGTGTAATTGTGGTCCTGTGTCTTAATGAGGTTTCAAAAGGAGACAACGGAGGAAGCTTGGGGGGAGGGGGCAGGGACGAAGAGAGAGAGAGTGGGGCCTGCTGCTGCAGCTCACTGGCTGGGGGAGGACATTTAATTAAACAACAATAAAAGCGTCAGCTGCTGCAGGTTAGCCATCTGAATCCCCCTCTTCCCTTTTGCTCTTTCCTGACAGAAAGCACACAAAAAACTGCTCTAAATGCCAGCTTCTGCTCATCTACTGCAACGTGCTCTACATGGGGCAGCCCTTGAAGAGCATTCGGAGACTTCAGCTTGTCCAGAATGCAGCCGCGCGAGCGATTGTGGGTGCGCCTCGGTTCACCCACGTAACATCTATACTCCATGAGCTGCACTGGCTGCCTATTGGTCTTCGGATATGCTTCAACGCGCTAGTCGTCACTT